AAAACAAAAAAAATTTAGTTGTTTGCCCAGATAAGATCTCAGGTAGCTTTCTCATATAGATATCAACTTCATTTATGGATGGCGCTCTTTGGGGTGAGGTCATGCTCTTTGGCTTTGCTTTGTTTATCTGTGCTCTCAGGTAGAACACAGACATCTCAGCTACTCTTCACACTTGGTTGAATTGTGACCTGCACTCTTTTCAGACACCAAATAAGCGTTTTCTGGTTCATTGCTTAGCCTCCCAGTGAACTAAATGTTATTTCAAATGGCTACAATAAAAAGGAGGTGGCAGAAAGCATTGGCAAGAGTTTCAAGGGTTGATCTAACTGCTTCCTTATCAAATTGATTTCTGCATCTGCTTTGAACTATCTTTTCTGAATCCTGGCACTGGCCATGCAAAGTGAGAAACAGGTAAATACTGCCTGCAGGAGAGTTAATAGTTATAAATTCAGGGAGTCTGGCACAAAGGTCCAAGGTTTGCGTGTTTTCTTAAACAGTTTCTCATTAAATAAAATTCAAAAAAGAGCAATAGAGTAGATTCTCTTAATAAATAAACTGAAAAACATGAATCAATACTGTTTCATTTATTAAAACTTTATAGTGGACAGAAATAAGGTCCTATTTTTCTATTTTTCAACTTGACACAAGCTGGCATTATCAAGCAAAACAAAACAAAAAACAAACATACAAAAATCTCAATTGAGAAAATATCTTCATCAGATTGCCTACAGCAAAGTTTGTATGACATTTTCTTGATAAATAAATGATATATGGTAACCTAGGTAACAGGGGGTGACAACAGCCCTGGGCAGGGCTGTATATGAAAGCAGGCTGTTATAGACAGCCAATCAATAAGCATGTTCCTCCTTCACTTCTGCTTCAGTTCCTGGCTTCTGGTTCCTGCCTTGAGTTTCTGCCCTAACTTAACTCAGTGATGAAGAGTTTTAAAATGAAATAAGCCCAAGTTGCTTTTGGTCACGGTGTTTTATTAGAGCAGTAGAAACCCAACTAAGTCATATTTTTATATATATATGCAAATGTGTATATTTCTCTCTTTCTACTATAAATATAATTTTCCTTACATAGATTTTTATATACTTTCTCTTACTACATAAACATCTTCCAGATCAAGATTCTTTCAGTTAAGAAATAACCATAGCATTGTAAGATTCATTTTTACCTTCAATTTAAGGATTATTTCTTTCTATCCTCTTGTTTCCTTCTCTCACCAAAGGAAGTTTTACCAAAATTTAAATTAGAATCAACAATAGTTTTTAATAAAAGTTCTTGAACCATAATTGTATTTTCTTAGTCAGTATAGCTATCCATTGGTTAATTTTCAACACATTATTTAAAGATAATAAGAAAATCAAACAATATTGGACAGACCATGGTTAAGAATATACATCTTCCTTGTTGGTTTAAAGTCTACTATATTATCCTGGTATGGCTGTAAGAAATGCAGTAGAGTGGATTGCTTTAACCAACATAAACTGAGTCTTTCACAGTTCTATAGGCTGAAAGTTCAAACAGGTTTACTTTTATTCTGATGTCCCAATGCCTTGTAGATGTCCATTTCAGAATCGTGCCATCCCATGACTTCTTTTTTATGAATATTATTTCCTGAAGTCTCTCTTTATATAAGGGCACCATCCTCTTGGGCTAAGGTTGTACCCTATGGTCTTCTTTTCACCGTAATTAGCCTCCTCATGGAACCTGCCTTTAAATATGATCACTGAGATGTAGTTCTACAGTGCATTTGCTGAGGACACATCCGCTCCCTAGCCATACTTTATGGTGGAATGAATGGCGAGTGACACTCTGATGTCCTGGAAAACCATTACTATGTGCAGAAAAAGATCTGTAAACAGTTCAAGAAAAATCCATAGCCAAACTTTAGACTCAGATATCTCTCTTTCTACACTTAAGTAGAAAGTAAAGTGAAAGCAAAGGAATAAAGAAATTGAATATAGCTAAGGACATGACAGCCTGGCATGGGAGAGCCATGGCAACAAGAGGTGTATTGCCTCAGAAGGGGGGAGGGGAGATGTTCTGCTGGCTTCCTGGTATTTGTTTTCAACCTTTATTATATGCTCTTTGTGTTTCTATGATGCCCAAGACTGACCATTTTGTGTAAAAAAAAAAAAAATGTTTACCAAAATTAAATTAAAATATAGAAGGAATATCACTTTCATCAAATTTCAGAAACTCTAGTTTATGAAAAATAATAAATTAGACTAGATTAAGAAAAATATAAAGATTAGACAATAAACAGAACTATGATTAATATGAATTCACTTCAGCTGATGTTATTAATGGGCATTGTTGACACCAATTAAATTAAGATTTATGTACATAAAAAGCCCATGTTTCATACAAGAAATTGTCTTCCTTTCTAAATAGCACCACCATAAAGTGAAACCTGTCTCTACTCTTAGAGGTATAGTTGTGGGAGATGAAGTTTGTCTACATGAACACATTTGATGCTATCTAAACATGGTTTTCCCTACACACAGCTGTTTTCCAGCTACAGGGCTGAAGTAGAACTGAGCATGTCCATTCATAACAAGAATGCTACAGGTACAGACAGTTCTACTTAGCATCAGCACACATACATACAAAAGAAATCTGTTTTTCTTCACAGCCTTACACATGCCAGTATATATTAAATGTGGGTGTGGGGAATATGCATACTGTGTAAATAGGGAAGAGAACTTGCATTTGAGATATATAAGAATCAACTGCAAAGTTGCTCTAATGGCAGACTTTCTTTTTTTTAACTTTTTTTAAAATTTTTCTTATTAGTTACATTTTGTTAACTCTGTATCCCATTCCCTCATTCCCTCCCAATCCCACCCTCCCTCCCTCAGCTTCTTCCTGCCCCTTTCCAAGTCCACTGATAGGGGAGGAGGTCCTCTCCTTTTATCTGACCCTGTTTTATCAGGTATCTTCAGGACTGGCTGCAAAGTCCTCCTCTGTGGCCTAGCAGGACTGCTCCTCCCTTGGGGGGTTAGGGAGGTCAAAGAGCCTGCCATTGAGTTCCTGTTAGAAATAGTCCTTGTTCCCCTTACTATGTGAAACCAATTGGTTACTGAGTTGCCACAGGCTACATCCGAGCAGAGGTTCTAGGTTATATCTATACATGGTCCTTGGTTGAGTGTCAGTCTCAGAAAAAGCCCCTATGCCCAGCTATATTTGGTCCTTGTGGAGTTCCTATCCTTTCCACATCATACTAACTCCTCTTCTTTCATATGATTCCCTGTACTCTGCCAAAGGTTTGGTTATGAGTCTTAGTATCTGCTTTAAAACACTGCTAGGTAGAATCTTTCACATGCCTTCTGCGGTAGACTCTTGTCATACGTTCAATGCAGATGACAGACTTTCAATAACTTGTATTGATCTTGTACAAGACAGCAAATTCAAGTTACTCCAAATTCCATGTTCCAATGTGATAACATTTTGTGAAGGTTTTATAGCTACAGAATAAAGAACAGTGTAAATAAAGACATTTTCCAAATACAGTAGTGGGAATGTTAGCCAGAAAAGTTGCAGTAAAGCAGAAATGTCTCTGCTCTAGGCTTCAGAAGTTAGCTGACAGCACTCTTGCCTTTGAGATGTCAGTAGCCAAGGGATTTGTTTATACATTGCTCAGGATATGTTAAAGTAGCATATCCAAAGACCAAATAAAACCATCTCTTTATTTTTAAAAACAATATGAATAAATAATAGTTTATTCTTTAAAATTGCAAATCCATTCCTTTTGTTGTTGTTGTTGTTGTTGTTGTTGTTGTTGTTGATTATATGCCCCAGAGAATGATGTAATCAGCCAACCTCAAAAATAGTACATTCAAAATACAAACACATTTAACTCTCTAATCACTTATCATGGAGATTTTCAGAGAGAATATTCATTCAGTATGTCAAGAAAATGATGCTGTAAAGAAAAGCAACCCCGCACTGTGGTGGAGGAGGTGTCAGGAAGAGTCTAAAAATGGGTCTCTTGAGTTTGACACCTTTTCTAGAACATGTCACTCTGACAGCCTGCTTCTTAATTTCTTGAATTATTTTGCCATTCTATACACTGGAAAATGCTGTGGGCAGTGTAAATAATTCTCAACCACTGAAATGCAAACGAGTTTATAAGGTGACTTATAACCGATTCTCCGCTGGGTATTTTCCAGCACTCTTCCTCTATTGGCAAGAAGCCACTGGAATTCTCAACGCTCCCCTTAATGAGTCAGATTCAATTCTTAACAAGTACTCTTCTCATGTATTTTTCTTTTTTATGTGTGTTTGTGCATAGCATGTGCTGTGTGTGTGTGTGGTATATACATACGTGAAGGGGTGAGCTCCTGTTTGTGGAGGACAAAGGACTATCCTTTGTCATGTTTTATCACACTTATCCCTTAATGAACCTGGAGTACACTTGCAGATAATCAGACCCCATGATCCTTCTCAAGTGTTCATCTCCAGTAGCACGGGGCTACAGGAACACCCTTGGCCTCCCAGCCTCTTAGGCAGGAGCTGGGCATCATTCTTGTGCAGCATGGTCTTTTACCCACTGAGCTATTTTCCTTTGCCCCACCCATGTTCAAACTCTTCTACTTCTAGATGCCTTCTTATTTTTAATAATTTCATACATTTACACAACGATATGATCATATCTATTCCACTTTCCTTTTCTAAATCTCTCCATATGCCCCAACATACTCTTTTCCATTGCTCTGTCTTTCTCTCCCTGCCTTCTCCCCTTCTTTCTCTCCCTCTCTCTTCCACTGAGTCTAGTTAGCGCTGCTCATATGTCCACTGGAGCACGGGAAACCTATCAGCCACAATTTCAGTTGCACTTTTGACACAGTTATCCTTGAATAGGGAATTATATGGGTATCTTTAACATATTCTGTTTTCTGTCATTCACATTTAATCCTTGGCATTTTAAAGGGTTGTTCTGAGTTTGCTATCTCCAAGGAGGCCTAAGATACATTTTCCTTCTCTTTTAGCTTCAGACAAGCTTGACTGAACCAATGACATTATCGAAATCCATCTCTCTTCCTCGTAGTGCATACTGGCATCACATTACGCGTCAGAACAGCGTTGGAGAAATCTACAGCTTGCAAGGCAAGTAGCTTTACAGTGACAAAGTCACATTGACTGTCATTTACTTTCTTCTGTGGGGCAGCCTTACAAAATGCTATGTGTTTGCATTAATTGCTTTTCTTTTGTTTCCGCTTACCAACTTTCTCAGAGACAGTAGGAACTCTGAAATTCACCATTACTTTTTTTAAAGCTATCATTTTATATATGCATGCTATAAAATGATTCCTAAAAGTACTGTGATGTATAAGGACCAAATTTGGCAGAAGACGTTTAGAAGAGTAAAACATTATACAAGCACGTTGTGCAAAGCTGAAAGTCAAATGCTGAAGTCTCTGTAATGCCGTTTTACAAAGGACTTCTTTTTCAACATCTTTTATTCTTCCTAGGAGTCAGCTCAGGAGCTGGTTTCAGGCTAAGGACTAAAATGCTTCACAAACTTACCCAGAGAAGCTGCCAGGTGTAGCCAGTCTTATCAGAGAGGCCCACTGAGGAGGGGCAGTGTAGAAGAGATAGAGTGTATACACATTGCCTCTGGTTTTCCCAGGGACCAGCTAACCAACCTGGGAATGGTTTGTGGGATGAGGTGACAAAGCAGTGTCAGACAACTGATGAGTAATTACAGAACCCCTGCCATCAACCTTTTTATGCTTTTTTTTTTTGTTTGTTTTGTTTTGTTTTAAATGATACTTTTATCCTTCAAATAGAATATACTCCCTGGAGGAAGTAAGAAACACAAGAATAATACTGAAATACACAGCTGAAACACACACTCAAACAGCAAGAATTTATCCAACAGCTTAGGCTTGAAAACAGCAGGCATCCAGTGAACACTTAGTGGATGCATAACTACTAACTACTGATTAAGCCTCAGTCTTCAGTTTGGTGTTTTTGCTTCATTTTCTTTCGTTGTTTCTTTCCATACTTTAGCTTTTGTACTTAATAACATTAATTGCTTTGCTACACAAAAATTAAATTACAAGCAAAATGAAATAATATGACTTTTTATAGCTTTATTTGCTTGCTTTCAGCAATATAAGTGGAATTTGAACACCAAGAAATGATTAAGTATATGTTCTTCAAGAAAAAGAAGTTGGAAGTGTTTTAGTCATTTGTAGAAAGCAATTGCATTTTATACTTTAAATAGCTATTTAAATTTATGGCTGACTTGATATTTGTACTTAAGACAGTGTCTTTTAGTATTACTTATTTGGAAAACAAAATATTTAAGAGTATAAAGACTGATAATAAAGAAAAGCAAATGAAACTTTCTTGGGAAGATAAACAATCAGAGAAAGGAAACACTAATATAGCTTAGTACTCAAAATATTGTCTAGAATGTTTCTTTCTGATTTAGAATTTCCATGTAAATACAACCTCTGATTAGGCCATGGCAGACCTTTCTGATCTTGGTACCATAAAACAAGGAAAGAAAGAAACAGATGGAAGGGGAGGAGGTCCTCCCCTATCAGTGGAATTGGAGAGGGACAGGGAGGAGGTGTGGTAGGGAGGGTGGGATTGGGAGGGAATGAGGGAAGGGTCTACAGCTGGGATACAAAGTGAAGAAACTATAATTAACATAAAAAATAAAATTAAAATTAAAAAATAAAATAAAAAAGAATAATGGACAGAAGTTTTAATGACCATATAACTGAATCTTTTCTCCAATGGAAGAGTTAATATTTAGACTGTAAAACAGCGTAAGAAATAATTTTACATCAATAAATGTAGCTAGAGTGAATTGAACTATCTCGTTAAACATAAACAGACAATCTTTGAAGGACAGTGTTAATCTGCTTTCTAAAATGCCCTATAATTACAATGGGCAATCTATACATGTGGGCTTGATACCATGGCATTCCCTGATTATTTGGTTGGTTATTGTTTTGTACTATATACGTATATAAATTCTAATTCATTAACTATGGATTGACTGTTGCACTGCATTTATTAGACTAATACACACTAATCATTCGGTATAGCCTTATTTTACCATTATACCATACATTAGAGTGCTTATAATTATCTAGGTATTTGGGCAGGGATAAAATAGGTATTTAGATACAAAGATGGGAACAATAGGTAGATAGATGTTAGGTAACAGTTATAGATATGAACTTGTTAGGGACACTTGACAGAAATGACTTATTGTATGGTAGCAGTCCACATAAGCAGGGGACAGGATCCTCAGAAGTTTTCCTCACTGGGACTAAATTCAAGTAGTATCATTGTTGACTAAAATTACTAAAACAAGGGCAAAATATAAACAGAAGCAGGGAACTTCAGTACCCTTTTGTGAACCTCTAATTTTAACAAAATTGCATGTATAAGTCTGATTACCTCATATCCCTTAGCTGTGACCCTGACATGGCAATATTTGTTTTTCACAAAGAGGAGAATATGCTTGTGTACTATCATTGTGTACTTTGCAGAATTAAAACAAAATTCTAGTGTTCTAAATGTTATTGGTCAAAAATATCACTAAATTTTCATTCATACAATTCCCATATCACACTGTTCTCTGGTAAAATGTTTTGTTACTCTTTTTGCATAACAAGACTATGCATTAACTAAAGTAATTACTGTATATCAAATAGTATAATCTATTCAATGTAAATTATATCTCATTGACTATGAACAAGAAAAAGCATAAGCCAGGAGGAGTTCTTCTAATTTACAGTTCAAGGAAATGCACCATCATGTGACAGTTGAAGCACAAGGCATCTGGTCACATGGGACTTCAGTTGCAATACAGAGCAAGAGGAAGACCCCTCTCTACCAGCTTCCCCATTTATTCAGCCAGGGACCACAGCACATTAGATAGTTCACATACATCCAAGACAGGTCTTCTCTGTTATTATCCCTTTCTAGAAACATTGCCATGGCCTAATCAGAGGTTGTATTTACATGGAAATTCTAAATACAGTAAAGGTACTAATGAAGATTAGCTATTATGTCAAGTAAATCATAGATTTAAGAATGAAAGTTGGTTTTCAAATTTTCCAAATTTTATTTTTATTAATTACAGTTTATTTACTTTGTAAAACAGCTGTAGCTCCCTCCCCTAATGCCTCCCAATCCTACCCTCCCTCCCTCTTTTTCTCCTATGCCACAACTGTATTTTTATATCTGGGCTATGAAGCTATGGATCAATGTGAATTAAATTCAGTGAGCTTTCATTCAAAAGGAAAAGTAGAAATTTTTTGTGTGTTCCATGTTTAATAGATTGGATTCATTAATAAGCAGCACATGTACTAGAGACAAAAAAAATTGTAGCCTAAAAACAAACTAATCTATACTAAAGTTATGCAAACTTCGATTGCCTGTCAGCATCTATGCTTTAGACTTAACTAAGTTTTGCTCTGCTCATGTATTTGTCTATTGCCAGACCCCTTTAAAGACAAATATATCAATAGTGAGATGCAGCATTTGACTCTGTGATTGAAGAATCAGTGTCACAGAATAAGCTGGTCTTTCCACGCTGCTCCCAGAGAGTGCTCTGACAGAATGAGATATTATGTGCGGATCAAATGAATGAGAAAAGAAATCATTAGCTTCTAACAAGTCCTCATGGTCCTGAGTAATAACTACTATTTACCACCTCCACCCCAGTGGCTCACGATAGGTCAATTTTGCCTCATTATTCTTTTCAGAAGGGAAGACTTCTCTTTATGGTGAGAGATAAGGATGCTTAACTTGTACTACCTGGTGATTTGTTACCTATATTTAACTAACTTCCAAATGCTTATGATATCACATACAAAAAATGTTTTCTCTAAAATCAAGAAAGCTTAAATTGTAAATAAAATACCATTTTGAACTTTTGACAATGAAATTATTTTTAAAAATTACTATCCTCATAAACTGTAAGCTTTCTTTTAAGATATTGTGATATATATATAGGGAAGGAAGAAAGGAAGAGGAAAGAAAATTAGGGAAGATTAGAAGTAAAATAGCAGCCTGCTACTGGTGACTTGATAACAGCTCAGAGAAACATGAGCCCCTGCAGGAGGCAATACTTTCTCTACTAAAATAATGATAGAGAGAAGAAGAAGAAGAGTGGCTAGGGGAAGGCTGAGGGGGGGCAACATTACTGAGCACAGACATTTTCTATTGCTTGTTATTAATTTAGTAAGCACAAACTGTACTGAAATGCAGTAAATCTGTCCTTTTAATCTGTCAGCTCAATGTCTTGGCTCTTCACCTGCTGCTTTCCCACTGAGATTAGTGCTTCTTCAATAAACTGTAATGAAAGGGGAGCTGAAATCCTCTCAGAGAAAGTGCTTATGGGGGGGGTACCATTCTTAAGTTTTTGATACAAAATTAAATGGGATAGATACACTTTGCACTGTTTCTGAAAAAAATCAACAAAGATGATTGAGGCTCCATCTTCTGTAAAGCTGAGAACTATAGAAGTTCTGTTTTCATTAACACCAATTAATATCCAAATGCCAGCTCTGAAGTGTGTGCCCTCTTTTGCCCTCTGTGTGTCCACAATTAAGCTGCAGACCACCAGTGTCAGCACCAAAGCTTACCTAATTACACCAAAGGCATTTAATGCTCAGGGAAAGGGCATCTGTGGCTCCAATTTCTCAGAAGGACAGGGCAGAACCAGACAATTAGAATTAAAGATAACCTTCAGAAAATGCTAAAGAGAATTCCAGCACAAACAAGTTAGGCAAATCCAAGGCTTTATTTATTCTTTAGTTAGCTGTGACCCTCTGTCCTTCTTTACTGCCCATTCAGTCCTTCTTTACTGCCCATACTTTTTTTAAATTTTTATCTTTTTAATATTAATCACAGGTTAATTTACTTTGTATCCAAGCCATAGCTCCCTTCCCTCATTCCCTCCCATTCCGACCCTCCCTCATCTCCTCCCTGTCCCTTTCCAAGTCCACTGCTAGCGGAGGTCCTCCTCCCCTTCCATCTGACCCTACCTTATCAGGACTGCCTGCAATGTCCTCCTCTGTGGCCTAGCAAGGCTGTTCCTCCCTCGGGGGTGGGGAAAGAGGTAAAGGAGCCGG